GTGCGAGAGCTTGGTCCCTGAGTTCCACTGTGGCTGGGCCACACACGGTCCGGGGCATGCAGTGAAGCCCTTCACACCTCTTCTTCCTCGTAGCCAGCCTGGGCTTCAGAAATTGTCATCGAGTCTGGAGACTGGGCCACTGCCACTCAGCAGGTTGCTGTTAGGGTCCTCCGGGTGCCGCACGTGGTCAGCCGAGGGCTCTGCCAGCAGCTGGGGGCAGTGTGGGCTGCGGCTTGGGGTGGGAGGGTTTGGGCATACCAGGAACAGCAGCGGCTTGGGGGCTGGATGGTGACAGGCTTGGACAGAATGGGTTTTGGGGAGCTCTGTGGGGAGGGATGTGGCTATGGGACACTTTGGTGTCATAGGTGAGCGTAGCCATGGTGGCCTGAGCCCAAGGTGGGTGCAGTGATGGGAGGGACCAAGCGATGGACTTTGCAGACCTGGGGGGCTGAGAGGGAGGGGGTCAGGGAGAGCAGAGCTCACTGGGCCCCTGGGAAGTGGGGTTCCCTGATTCTCTGAGGAGTTCGGTTCTGTGCATGTGGAGTCTGACTTCCCAGGGGAACGCTGAGGTGGGTGGTTGGCTGGGCAGGCAATGCAGGCTTGGCCGAGAAGTGCACGGATGGACGCCAAAGCCAGAGTGAGCCCGCAGCTAAGTAGTGGCAGAGCTGACAGATACCTGTGCTTGTTTATCTGGGTCGGGAGGGACAGCGGCGGGGGACACCGTGCAGTGGCATGACAACAGGGGTGCTGGTGTGCAGACAGGCCCAGCAGCCCTGCGCTGCGGCCTCTGCCTGTTCCTTTGCCCCATGTCTTCCGCCCACCCGCGGCCCCACCTTCTCCAAGTCTGTGCTCACAAGGCCTAGCGGAGGGCCTCCCTGACTAGTTCCCACTGCCCGCCGGCCCTTCCTTGCCTTCCTGCTCTTGGTCCTTTGGAGCCCCCGGCATGCTGCCTGGCACAGGGCAGGCATGACGCTCATCTGTGTTTTGTTGCTTTTGTTGTTTTAACAAGGAAGGCCTTTTATGTTACTTCTCCATATATTTTAAGTATTATTGTGGGGGAGCACCGAACATATGAGGTGTGGACACAGCGGCAGCCACAGGCTGCGGGGCTCGGAGACCCCACCGGGCAGTGCCCCGCCTGCTCCCCAAAGGCACGCGTTAATGTTTCTTCACTTTCTCAGTCGTGGTTTGATGTTTGCCCCTGAGGGAGAGGTGACAGTCTGACAGCTGGGGGACATCTGTGTGTAGTGCTTCCAGTGCTTGAGGGCAGTGTGAGGTTGGCCTGTGCTCAGCTTGGGGACACCTGGGGACTGACTGCAGGCTCTGAGTTGGATATTTTGTATTAGTGGCTGCCACTCATTGAGCAAAACTTGAGTCACCTACATGAACCTAGAAGCATGCCAGGCCCTGGGGTAACACGTATGAATTAGGTCCCTGGCTTCACAGGACCTGTTCATGGGCCTCCGACTCAAGGTTTGGGAGTTAGAGAAAAGAGACAGTGGGCTCTGTGGAGAGCTGGGCCGGGGTCAGGGTGCAGTTTAACCGAGCAACATGGGGCCCAGTGGTGGGGGCCAAGATGCAGGAGGCAGGCGCCCAGTGGGGCTCTTGGTGCAGACGCACTGGTACGGGTGAGGCGGGCCTTGGGGCCACCCTGCAGCAGCTCCATGTCTTTTGCAGCTGGTGAGGGAGCACACAGGCCCTGCTGGCGATGGGAACAGTGCCGACTCTGGGAAGCAAGCGGTGAGTCTGCCTGGCGGTCACCTGGCGCTGGGCTTGGTGGGAGGCGGAGACTTTGTTATGCTTTCCTCATCAGCTAGTGTTTGGATCTCCTAGTTTTCTAGAAAAGGGAAATCAGAAGCTTCTCAGGCCCCCTTTCTGTCTGACACACCGGTCAGTTGAGGTTCGTTACAAGTTTGGTTTGTGCCTGAGTTTCAAGGGTCTGGTTCTGGGCCTGTGGAAGTGGAGCCAGGCTGTTTCTACTGATCCCCTGGCTACAGCTGCCGGGACAGCGTGGATGGCTGAGGGGCGACCAGTGTCTGCTCCGCTCAGCTGCCCGCTTCTGCTGCGCCCTCCCCAGGTCCTCCGTGAGGTGGGGTCTGGGGAGCACGGCCCAGCAAGCACTATGGACACTGCCCTTGAACTGCTGCAGCTGCCCCCAAATGCCGGAGACCCTGTAGAACAGGTAAGGCACTGGGCCCGGGAGTGAAAGCAGCAAGAGGGAATTTGCTTCCCCCAAAATGAAGAAAACTGGTGTCCAAGCACGAGCACTGTGACACGGAGCCTGGGTTTCAGACCTTTTTGATGAAACTAACAGCTGTTATTGGGGCAGACTCGTGTCTCAGGAGCGCTGTGGCATGAGTCCTGCAGCCGGGCCAGGGCTGAGTCTGTGACCTGCCTTCCTTGGGCCCCTCCACCTGCCCCCTTCCTCCTGGGCACAGGTCTGCCCCATCCTGGCTGTTGGCCTCTGGGCACCGCTCACTTTCACTCACTCTGTCCTTAGGTCTTGCCACACAGACTGGAGAGAACAGCGTCCCTGGTCAGCGTCCCCTGGTCAGCCTCGCTGGGTCCAGGCCCCTCTCCACACAGCCATCCGATCACAGCTACGCCCTTCTGGACTTAGATGCCCTAAAACAAAAACTCTTCCTGACTCTGAAGGAAAATGAAAAGCTCCGAAGGCGCCTGAAGGCTCAGCGGCTGGTGATACGGAAGATGTCCCACCGCCTCCGTGCTCACCAAGCCGGGGAGCCGGGACTCCAGGCCAGGCCGCAGCCGGAGCCGCGGAGCTGAGCCGGACACCTGGGCTTCTCAGAGCCTGTGGGAGGGGGTGGCAGCTTTGGGGTTTGGGCTCGGGACCTCTCACAGTCCTGCCACTGCCACTCAAGTGGCAAGTGAGCCACGCCAGGATGTCTTGGCAGGAGCCAAATGCGCCTCAGGTGAAGTTTAGCACCTTGGGCTGGGAAGGGGCAGGGCTGGGAGGACAGACTCGGTCCTCCCGGGGGTGATAGCCGCGGCTGTTTTCAGCACAACTGGGCGATTTCCTCACATGCACAGCACAAGCTGCCACCCTGGGCCAGCGTGGCAGACAGTCCCTGGTGGGGAGGAAGCACACTGCTTTGAGGGGCGGCCGGGTCCAGGGAAGGGCTTGGTGTGTGGGGTCACTCCCACCCTGGACACTGACTGGATGGGGGTGGTTGGCCTAAAGTGGGCTGCACAGCCCCCTGCACTGCTTGGATAGCAGTCTGAGTGGCTGAGAGTGGCCCCTGGTGTCCTAGAGTGCCTCCTTTCCTGGCCTGGGCTGAACAATATAATAAAGTGTCTTCCTACACTGTAGGTTTTCTTCCTTTACTTAAAAGCAAGTATAGGTATTCCCAGGTTTTTGAAAATTCATGTTAATGCCCACTCCCTTTTATGAAAGCCCTGTCTTAGTACCTACTTTAGCTCCTACAAAGAAATCTGAAGGATATTTTCACTTTTATAAAAAAGAGGCACAAAGAGCACCGCTGCTGCTGGAGCGAGCCGTCAGAGGGGCAGTGTGCACCCCGGCAGCAGGAGGGGCCCCACCGCACTCCTTCCTGGGACCCACACCCAGCACCTCGGTGTCGCTCTGCCAGGGCCCCGAGCCTTGTGAGCATCTGTGCTTCATCTCCGTGTATTTTGTGCCTGTTAGCAAGATGTGTCTTCTGGTATCAGAAAAGTCAAGAAAGGTGATTTGTTGGGTCTGGGAACCCTCAAAAAGCTTTCCACATAAATCTGTTTTACACCATCTTGGCTTATGAAAAGTTTGAAAGGAACCCTCCACTTTGAGAAAGCGGGGCGAGCCTGTGAGCTGTAATTCCAGGTCTGCGTCCTGCAGGGCTTTGCCGCTGCCAAGACTACTGAGCTCCTATTTCCTGTCTAAAGGAGGGACCCACCTTTGCTTAAAAGAAAAAAAAGGGTGACTTCAGTTAAAAAAATAGAAGAATCCTAGCTTAAGTGACTAATAATGGACTCTCAGGCAAATGTCTAGTGTAGAAAACTGAGCTATAGCTTCAGGTTAATAAGCCTCATGGCTTAAAAATGGGTTTAAAGAGTGAGGAATAAAGCACGGAAGGAGGGCTTGGTGGAGGGGCCGCCCCCCTTATTCTGCTCACTCCTAAACGTGGACATACAGATGCATGGAAGCGCTACCCCCGCCTTCAGGACAGGTTTATTGTGGGAAGCAGGTGCCGTCTGTACAGTCCATTCCAAACACAATGAAGAGAACTGGAGCCCAAGGGCCACCTGCCTCGGAGGGAGCCCGTGGCCACGTCCAAAGTCAGACTCAAGTAATGCAACGCTTATTGCACAATTTACATTCAGAGCAGCAGCCCAGAGAAAAACTTATTTAAAATGGAAAAAAAATATTATAGAATTGGACAACCGAACTGTGTTTAGAAACTGGAGGAAGGTGAGCTATTAGTGACCATCCAGTACGGACGTCAGGGACGTCGGCCTGTGGAAGCTGCAGGACGGCTGTCAGAGCCACTGCCGACCAGGGCCTCTCTGCTCACTGGTGACTGTTACCACAGCTGACGGACCGGCCTGCCCAGGAGTATCCCGGCTCCTAAAATACTCTGCTTCCACAGAGGAGGGAAGCGAAGGCAGAGGGCCTGGGGCGCCAGCACCAGGAAGGACTCCGCAGCGAGGAAGCTGGAGCCGGCAGGGCGTGGGGTCTGCTGGCCGCGAGCGAGGGCGGCAAGGCGGCCCCAGCTCAGCGCCCGGGCTTTGGCGCGGAGGTCCCTCCTCTCCCTCCTCGGTCCGCCCGGTCCGTCCGGAGCCTCTGCACCCCGTAGGCGGGCCAGGCTGCGCGGGGCGCGGGGCAGCTCCCTCCGCCCTTCCCCACAGGACAGCGGCCTCGGGAGGAAGGGGCCGTGACAGGGATGGGCCTCGGGACCCGAGTCACACCACCCTGTGCCAAGCCGGGTGCCGGAGGAGCGACGGAGAAGTTCTGGGAGAGGAAAAAAGGCTAATTTCCAAAACCATTCGTTGTCAGATAAAAAGCAGATTTTTATAGACCCACACAATCCTCTCCAGATTCACTTAGTAATAATTCAGCAGGAAAAGGCGGTTTTCGGGAAGTTGACCGAACAGTTGCTCACTTGACCTGGAGACCTCCGCCCGTGAGAATGCCTTCCTGCCTTCCTGCCTTCCATTTTGCTCTCCAGGTTCAGTGTGGATTTTAGGAAAAACAGTTCACAGTCCTATGTATGAGGGCAGGACATTCCATAAATACCTCAAGACAGACCTTGAGCCGCTGGGTGGCCGCGTCTGCACATGTGCCGGAGAACGTCTGGGGGCCCAAGGCCCTTGCGTCCAGGGACATGGTCCTCGGGAAAGCAGGCCCGGCCTGCACTGTGGCTCTGGTGCCAGTGGGCTGCCTCGGTCCTACCCCCAGCACCCGAGAGAACAGGTGTCTGCACCCCTCACATGATTACAGGGTGCCACCTGACAGGAATAATATAAAATAAACACATCTGATGTCTGGGTTTTCTCCCTGTTTCCAAATTTGTAGACTCCCAGGAAAAGATTTTCTGTAGCCTCTTTTTAATCTGGTTTCTCAACCAGTTTATCCATCTGCATCAATCCTGTGAGCTGTAAAAGAAAAGACAGTGCAGTGTATCCAGAGGCAACTGTTTTCATGCCCCTTTTCTACGTCAGGGCCTCCGTGCGTACCAGCCCAGAGGCTGCCTGGCCTGCGGTGAGCCAAGCGCAGACCCAGAATCAGGTTCTGGAACAGGAAGGGCGGCTGCACTTGCTTCACATGCGGCCACCAGCTGCACTTTCCAAGCAATGAGCTGATTCTCCCCGGAAACAGCTGGCACACCCCCGTGCCCAAGCCCGCCATTTGGGTGGGTGACCAGGGAGGTGGCTACTGCCCCACACGGACATCCTGGTCCCTATCAGTGGCTAAGGCTTCTCGCTGGCTCATGCACGGGGCAGGTAACACCAAGGGCACCTACTCACACTGCTTTGGTATCCGCAGCGCCGCGCCATCCTGCGCCATCACCTGGTGCAGGGCACCTCGGAACTGGTACAGCACCTTGAGGCTCTTGTCCTCGCCCACACACGGGTCATAGAACCCAGGCAGCCCGGCCTGCAACAAACAGGTTCTTGTCTGAGAGGCGACCTGACACAGCTGCGGAGCCCCAGGGCCACTGTCTGCTGCCCCCTGAAGGCACAGCGTGGAAGCCCTGACTTCCCCTTGGGAGTGCCCACGGAAGATACACACTTTGGAGCTTGAGGAAAAAGAAACGAGAATTTCAGAGGAGAGTTGTCTATTTAGTCCTGGCCTTTCCTCTCAATACAGACCCCTCCAGGACACAAATCCACTCTCTTCACAGCAGCCCCACTGGGACAGAGACGCCAGGAGACTTCTTCTGGGAGCCTGGAGTGCTTTGGTCTGGGCTAACCTGCATGTTGACCTGCCTTTATCACTCACACCCAGGCTCCAGCGTGAGCCTCAAAGGTGCCACGGAACCTCACAGTCTTTCTGGAACAAGGCAAGGAATGGACAGAATGTAAGCCCTGCAATGGGAGGTTGTATGTTCTGCTTGCTGCTGTACCTGGCACACAGTAGGCACTCAGTAAGTGCTTGCTGGTGGATGGACGGAGGAAGGGAGGGAGGGAGGGAGTAAAGGCCCCATGCGGCTCTAACTTGGGTGCCAGCAGCATGTGCACAGCGAATGCTGGCACTGTGGAGGGTGCCGCTGCGATGAGAGGGCCAGGGCGTCCCCGCCCTGACACCACTGCCGTCTGACCCCGCGGGCGCCGTACCTTGGAGGCCTCCGTGAGGATAAGCTTCGAGTCCTTCACCAGGCACTGCAGGGGCACAGTCACATCGATCACCTTCACTTTCTCGCTCTTCCTGCTCTTGTCGTTGACGAATTTCCCGTACCAGGCGTTGACGATGATGAGTCCTGAGGAGTGGCTCAGTCAGAGCGGGGCAGGCCTTGGCTGGGCACCCAAGCACGGCTGGGCAGCCAAGTGCTCTTTTGAGACCCCAGTGCCCACCCCATCCCGAGAGGCCATGCCTTCTCACCCATTCTGGACTCTTCTGCCTCAATTATTCTTCGGACAGATTCCTGCATCAACCGAACCTGCAAACACCAAGAATGGCTGCCGTCAGGGCCTTTGCTGGGCTCCACCTCTCTGGGCAGGGCCACAGCCCTGTGCCCGGGTGCATTTTAGCCCCTCTGTCCACAAAAAAAAGAGTTCACTTTAAAGGGAAGAAAAGAGGACAACACCCACCACTTTTACAAAACCCCAATAGGCCTTCTGAGGGTTACTAATCTTTAGGTCAGGGACTGAAGTTCCTAGTGTTGCATCGCAAAGGCAATAAGGACTAAATGACCACTGATGTCGCTGGGGAAGAACAGCCCGAGACCAATTTGCAGTGTGTGAGGGATGCCCCCTAGAGCCCTTGTCTAAGAACGTGGACTAGAAAGGAGAGATGCTTGCGTGCGGTCGGTGTTCTGCGCAAGAGCGTGAGAACATTCAGAGATTCACACAGAGCAAAAGGGTGTCCCGGCTGACGTTCGTGCAGCACTTACGGCAGCTTCTGCCTCTTGCTTCTTCTGCAGAATGTCAGTAGCTGTGCTTTCCCTCTGCTTTTCCAATTCCCTTACGCGAGAAAAACACAAGCCACACATCAGCGTGGTGTTACCCAGCAGGGAGACAACAGAGCCCTGCGCTGGACCGGCGCCCGGCAAACAGTCTGTGATCGTACTGCATTCCTAGTTTTAGAGCTCTAAAAAATACTTCCAAGACGATCTCAAGCAAATCTGTTCATAGGCCTGTGCAGAGATCTTTTCGTTCCTAGATGGCTCTCCCCACCTCCTCACCAGAGTGTACAGGAGACCCACTGCTGTGGGGAGAAGACCCCACCTGATAATCTCAGGGAAGTGAGAGGTCACATAAGCAGGTGAGAATCCTAACAGATGCCACCAACCTTCTGGGGCTATTACAGAACCCTTTTGGTAGGGACAGTGCACAGTGCTTTAGAGAGCTGCTTCCCCCTTTCGCAGACCACAGGGATGTCAGAGCAGCACGCGCCTGTCCCATCAGGAGACTTGGCCCAGCACATTCCTTATTCCTAGCCTCAAGCCTCCTGGGGGCTTAGGACGCTGAACTCTAGTGATTCAAAGGCTGGAGGGGCCCCAAAGAACAGATTTGTGTCTTTCCCCCAGTTCTCTTAAGCTCAGTGATAAATCAGATCATCATCAACTCATGAATCTAAACCACCTCTCATTTTAAAAGAAACTACAAAACAAATGCCGTTGCTATGACTTCCAAGGCCACAGTTAATGCATACTCTGTATATAAGAACTCAGAACCCATTCCTATTTAGCTCAGTGCCAGGAAAAGAAATGGTTACAATGAGGAAAAAGGAAAACTTTTTAAAAAAAATTTCTTGTGGTCACAGTTTACAGTCCCAACAATTCTGTAAACTAACTCTAATCTTTTCTGCAGGCGGGAATAATAATGAAGGGATAATAGGAGTACTACTGCTAGTGGCAATAAACAGCTAACATTTAGCGAGTGTCAGTGTGGGCTTGACACCACGCGAACACTTTACATGTACTAACTAGGGTAATTTTCCTAGTAACCCTATGGGTAGGTTCTGTTATTGTCTCCATTTTAAAGATGAGGAAATGGCACAGAGTTGCTCAGGGATGTCCCTGTGGCATGTTTTCAACTCACTTCTCTTTTTGAGCCCTGAGGTATGGTTTGATGATCAGACGGTGCATAGCAAAGTAGACCACGAGAGGCCCCACGGTGGCATAGAACACAGCGCTGGGCAGAAGCTGATCCGTCAGATGAATGGGGAAGAAGTAAGTCTGACTAGCCCTGTTTAACCTGAAAACAAAAACAAAGTGGCCAAGATGAGTCAGGTTCCCAGGGAAGCGCATGGGGCCTCAGCCTCAGGAAGGGACTCTCTCAGGTGCAAAGAACCAGTTAGAAGGAACCCAGAACTTGTTTCATAATTCACTTCCCTTTGCTAGTGCCTGGTCTAAAGTTCAGCCATGGGATTTGCTCTCTGTGACAGAGGCTCGACTACCACCTGCCCTCCAGAGCAAAGCAAGGACTGATGCCCGACCTGAGTACGTGTGGCCTGGAAATCAGGAGTGGACACTCTGCCAGGTGTCCTGGAGACAGAGTCATACCTCTGTCCTCAGTTCATCTGTTTGAAAGAAGTGTGAGTCGATTTCCAAAGTTAGCAGATTAATGGGGCTCAACTCCCGGGATCGGCTGAGCAGCTCCAATTGGGCAAATCGTCCACAGGTAACAGCCATCAGTTCTGGACCACATACCGCAAACAAGGCTGTCAGGTACTGGGGAGCCACAACAGGCAGGTAGATGCAACGGAGGGCTGAAACTTAGGCAGCTGGAAAGAAGCCTGGGCAGCTTCCTGTTTGTTGACAGGTTTGTTGACAGCTTTCAGGCTGAGGTCAAGCCTCAGTCTTGTACCATATGGATGCTTAAAAACGGAAACAAATTTACAGTCCTATCAACTGAACAGTCAGAGCTCAAGAGTATGGAGCAACCACTGCAGCTGGGAAATGAGGGGGTCTCCCAAGAGGAAAGTCATAGATGGGGAGCCCCAAGTTCTGTGTATACATGCACAGATCTCCAGCTGACCTTTCACCCATCAGTGGCCTGGCTGAGGGTAAAACAGGTGCTGTGTTCCGGCTCCTGCCACATAGTACGAGGCTGAGTCTGCAGTCTGACTTCAGCCAAGTTAATTCCTTCTAAAAGGAAAAAATCATATTTTTTTGGGAAACGTAACAGAATACAGTGTCTACAATGTATTGTTCACAATGCCAAGGATACCAAACCAACTACTCTACGTGTCTGGGTACAAGAGAGAAAGATGAACAGGAACCAACCCGAGATGACCCCGATGTTGGAGCTTGGCAGATAAGCAACAATTTTAACTATGGTCACTGACATAATAGTCCCTGGGAGGCGAGAAGGGTCAGTGTGCCGCAGACAGGCCAGCTGAGGTCACCCACCATGAAGGAGAGAGAGAGAGGACTAGGGACAATCGGGCAGGGCCTCAGAGGGGACAGAATGGGGCAGGAATAAATATTTGAAGGATTTATGGCCTCAGAGTTCCAAATTTGATGTAGGACATAAATTTATAGATTCAAGAACTTCAGCAAATCCCAAGCAGCGTATATACAAAAAAACCACATGTAGGTACGCTATAGGTACAAACCGCTGAAGACAAAGGCAGAAAAGAAAAGAGTTGAGTAGTCAGGCAATAAAAAAGATATTACAGGCAGAGGGGTAACGGATGACTTATCATGAGAAGCAATGTAGAGGAGGAGCCCTGGCTGAGCTTGCAGAAGGGTCAGTGTGACTTTGGCTAGAGATGTACTACACACGCCCTGGGATGAGGACAAGAAGAAACCTAAAAGGAAATGGCTAGTTCAAGGTCCAAATTCTTATTTTGTGGATGTAAAGTGTCCAGGCAGCTGTAAGATCAACATGGTTTATAGCCATGCCCAGACAGTGTTCCTGTCTAGGTTGTTCAGCAGTGTTATGCCAGCCAACAGCAGGAAAGGCCAGACTCACAGAAGGTGCTTATTTAGAAGAAAACAACACTAGAGACCTACACAACTTCCTGAATTTGTGTTACATCACAGAAAGCCTATCAGTTCAGTAATTTTCTGCTGACCTACCAAGGTAATGTAATCATGCTAAATTTTTAAGGTACACAATAATGATCTCCTATGTTGGTGTCAGTTTTTCAATAAAGGTTTGCTTATGGGAAAAAACAAACAAAAGCCCAAACAAAAAACAACAAGTCAGAAGACCATAGGGTAACATCTCTAGAGTGCTGACTGAGAGACCTGAATCAGCTAACTCTGAATTCTGTATCCAGTGACAGTAAATATCCATCAGTAACAGCAACTCCATAATCCGTAACACTCAGAACCCAAACAATAAAACAAAGATTTGAATACAGACTTCACTAAAAAAAAAAAAAAAGATATGGATGTTAGCAGTAAGCACATGAAAGGATGCTCTGCAGCTTAGACATCAGGGGCACGCAAACCAGACCACAACAGGGCACCTACACCTGCTGCTTAAAAATGACCACGCCAAGGGCTGGTGGGGCTGAAGAGCGACTGGACTCTCGTGCACTCCTGGCGGGAGAGAGGAAACCCCCGCTATGCAGCACAGAGGGGTGCTTTCTTACGGAAGTTAAACACACACCACCATGTGCCTCAGCATGCTTACTCCGAGGTATTTACCCCCCAGAGAAAGGAAAACATGTTCACACAAAACCTGTTTGTGGATGTCTACACTGGCTTTATTCATAATCGCCCCAAACTAGAAACAACTGAAATATCTTGAACCTGATAAGTGGGGACACTGATGTATCTACAGAGCGCCAAGCCCAACAGCAGCAGGAAGCATGCGGCGCCGTCAGGATGCGCCTCAATGCGTCACGCTCACGCACAGAAGCCTCCCGCTGTATGACTTCAATTACATGGCATTTTGAAAAAGGCAAAAATGTAGGGAGGGAAAACAGACCAGTGCTTGCCAGGACTTGGGAAATTTGGGGGATGATGGCAGTGTTCTCGGGGAGTTACCCGACTTCTGTGACTGTCAAGCTCAATGAACTGCACAGTGAAAAGGATGAATTTTAATTTACGTAAACTTCACTTTAAAAATTATAGGAATGACAGCTTAGTTCTGGGGCAGAAATGCCCATAACTGCACTATTTTAGCTTAATAGAAAAATAAAATGATGCATATAGATAAAATATAAATAAAATACAAAAGTAAAGTTAAGAAAAAAATAAAGACATTTTCTTGATAAAGAATACTGAAAGGTCATGACTGGCAGACCTACACTGTAAGAAAGACTGAAGAAAGTTCTTTATGCCAAAGGAACCAGTACCGGAAGGACACTCAGATTTTTCGGAAAGACAAGGAACACTGGAAATGGTTTAAAAAAACAAAAGTGGATAAACATTAAAAGTTCCCCTCTTAATTTCTTTAACATATATATGACTACTTAAAGCCAAAATTACAACACTGCTGTGGGGATTATGACATGTGCAGATGTAATATATACGACAGTTACAGCATAAAGGACATGGGGTAGGGGGGGAATGGCAAGAGAATTTGGTGAGGTTCCTTCATTTTACATGAAGTGATTCGGTATTAAGTCTAAGTAGGCAATGAAAGGCTAAGAACATACAATGTAGTCTCTAGAGCAACTACTAAGAAAAAAACAATGCAGATAGCTAAAAGGTCAACAGGCAAATTAAAATGGAATGCTAAAAAATACTCAATATAAAAAGACAGAAGAAAATGGTTAGAGGAACAAAAAGTCGGAAGGAATGAACAGAAAACACATAATAAATAACAGGACAAAAATCCAACTGTACCAATAGCTACATTAAATATGAATGGACTAAACACTCCAATCAAAAAGCAAGAAACTGTATGAATGTATTGTAAGAATGGAAGAGCAAGATCTGAACTACATGCTGTCTACGAGACACTTTATGAGCACAGAGATTGCTTAAATGTCAATGGACAGAAAAAGATAAACTATATAAGTAGCATAAGAAGGCTGGAGGAGCTACATTAATATCAGATAAAGTAGACTTCATGGCAGAGAGTATTGTTAGAGATAAAACACATGAAACAAACACTGACAAGGGAGGAAATAGAGAATTCCACAATGACAGCTGGAGATTTTAACAGTCCTTTCTCAGCAACTGATAGAAACCCCCTCATACCAGTAGCCACAGAACTTCTGATTTCTGACAAATACTTCCAGTCACCGTGACCTAACCGATTTTGTAGCACACTACACTCAAGAACTGCAGAATGCACATTCTTTTCAAGTACACAGGATACATTTGCCAAGATCGATTATATGCTGGGCCATAAGGAAGTCTCCATATATTTAAAAAGATCAGCATCATATACAATATGTTCTCTGACCAAAATGAAATTACAAGTCAATGATCAGATATTGAGGGAAAAAACCCAACTATTTGGAAACTAAGCAATACATTTTTAAAAGTGAAATTAGGTGATGGTTTGAACTGATTTGTGGGATGGAATAAAGGGAATAAAAGTTTTTAAAGGGAAATTTATAGCCTTAGATGTTTATATTGGAAAAGGAAGGTATTAAATTAATAATGTAAGGTTGGACCATGAAAAGCTAAAAAAAAAAAAGCACAACTTAAAGCCAAAATAAGTAGAGGAGGACATAATAAAGGATTGAAGAATCAGGAGTTGGGATATGACGGTTGAGATCCTGTTGGATATCCAGGCTGAGATTTGGAGAAGGAAGTGGGATCTGTGAGCTGGGGATCGGCAGGGAAGGCCACGCTGGAGCTCTAGGCATGGGAGGTGAGGCGCTGAAAGCCACCAGGCTGCGTAAGAGCGCGTGAGCGAGTCTAGACAGACGAGGACGGGCCCTACACTGAACCAGAGGCAACACTCCGAGGCTGGAAGGCAGCAAGGCCACCTACGCAGGGGCAGGAAGGCTATGGGTGCCAATGGGAATGGCCTGGCACAGAGGGATAAACTGACGCCGCAGGCGCAGACGGTGAAGCAGGGAATGGGGTGCCCGGCCAGCAGGGAAGGCAGGGCCACAGGCTGGAAGGCGGGCCAGTTAAGCATATGGAAATTCTCTGAGTGAGACTGAGGCCTCACTAAACGGAATGTGGGGCTTTTGGGCTCCTTAACACTTGCTTACACAGACAAGACAGAAGCAACCATAGTTAAGAATAAAATTACAAAGCAAAGTCTATTTCATCCTTAACGCAGGTGAAGTCCAGATGAACTGCAAGCTGCCAACTAATCCTTTGACCAGAAAGATCCAGTTCGACTTACTTGACTTTGAGAGAAACACCCTGAGGGACTCCAATGCTGACGGCTGCCCCTAAGACGCTGTGCCTGGAGATTTTCCGCTCTGCTCCGTACTCCACCACTGTCCCAAAGAAGCCTGCCCTGCAGGGAGCAGATTGCGGTGAGCAGCAGGGGCTCCTCAGCTCCTGGATCCCTCCCGGTTACCATGGGCAACTGTCACTCAGAATAGGAGCAGCATGCCCCGTCACTTCCTCCCCTCGCACCCTCCCCACCACCCACAGCGCTGGTACACTCGGACAGTGGGCAGAACAAAGTCGGGACACCCGTGGCGCAGGTTTTCCATTAGACTCTGAGTTTCTCAAAGACCAGAGCTGCAGGGTATTAAGTCCCACTGCCTCTCAGCAGGAAGCACTCAGAAATGTCACCAACAAAGACATTAATACAAGCAGCATCTTGCACGAAACATCTCCACCATGACAAACGCTGACACAGAGAAGGCAAGCCTCCAAGTCGGCCAGGCCAGGACTCACTTGAGGGATCCTTTCACGCGGGTCTGGTCATCATCCTGGAATTTGTGCTGATAGCTGATCAGTGCAAAGGAGTGAGGGATTCCAAGCTGAGAAGACAGGAGAAAGGGGGCACGGCTGAGAGCCAAGGCTGCAGCGGGTATCGCCCCTGTACTAGCCGCTGAGCACCCATCATGGGCGGGCCTCTCAGGCAGCTGCAGAAGCGTGTGAATGTTTACCAATGTTTAAACATGGGGAGATTCCTCATAAAAATCCAGTTTTCCAACTTCTCACAAAAACTAAAAAATTCCAACACGGGGCCTGTGTTCTTATATGGCAGCAGTTGGTAGGTGCTGAGGACCAGCTGCCCTTTCGGGATGGCCTCCCTCACTCTGTGCCATGCCCGGGCACAATGGCGTCTGTGTGCACGACTTTGCTTTGGGGTCACTTACCGACCAGGGGTCCCTCCCACCCTGTTTCTGTGGGTTTCTCCCGCCTGATGTGAAAAAGGCATTTTGCTTTAGGACACCTGGAATGCAGTGACCCTGGGAGCCTGGGAGCAACTGCATTTCCATCCTGAGTGAGTGAATGGGACCTGCCCCACAGGACCCCGACAGGTACCTGGTCCAGGCAGGCGGCTAGAGGGAGGGCTGCAAGAGGCACCTGAGGCGGAGGGAAGAGGGGTCCTCCCGGAGCTCTGTCCTCACCTGCAGGGCCACAGTGAAGTGGCCGCTTTTGGTATCCCGGACAATGCTGGTGTTCATGGCCGACTGGATGCCCCACCGCCACTGCAGGTAGCCCACGGTGTTCTTGTCCAGGTTCCGAGCTAGGACGGTGGTCAGGCCAGGCCGGACTCCTCGGGACGAAAACTGCAGAGCACAGTTTGTCGTCACGAAGCTGGGGGGACACACACAAAGAAAGGGTCCTGGACGGCACCTGGCTCTCAGCTGTTCTTGGCTGCTTCCTCTCGACAAGGCTGAAGCCCTGCCCACTCCCTCCCATAACCCCTGGGCTATCTCCCAGCAAGGGGAGCACGAGACCCTGCCCCTCTCCTGCCCCTCTCCGGAAGAGGCCGCTTGAGGGTGCCCTGGGGAACCTTCCCGGTAATCTTCCCGGCTCAGCGGCACTACCCTCCCCCAACCCACTCCCATTTTGGCTACAACCAAAGAGGCCCCTGAATGTGTGTGCTCCTAAGCCAGTAGACCCAGCGCTCTTGCAGGTCGCCTGGGGAGGGTCCCAAACGTGGCTGCACCCTGGAATCCCCGGCTAGTCCAAAAACACGGGTGACTTCCGCACCAGGCATTCAGCGGCAGAGGCTCACTGGGTTGAAGGCTTGCTGGCGATGCTGATGTGCAGCAAGGTTTGAGAACCCCTTAACCAGAGCCCACTCCAGACAAATTATGTCAGAATTTTGGGTGGGGGCCCAGGCATCAGCATATTTTTCAGAGATGGCCATGGGATTCTGATGCACATGCACGATTACATGCTATGGACTGAAGTACTTGAAAAGTAACACAGTAACCGGAAAGGCCTCTCCTTGTTTCCAAAGGAGTCAACGCCACCTCCTGGTTAGGAAAGGGTATTTCATTTCTGTGACAAAGGTCACTATTCACTCAAGGTGTTGAAAGGTGAGCAACAGCTGGCCTTTAGTCACTAGCCCAACATTCACCAGATTGCCTTGGTTTCTTTCTTTTTTCCTGAACTCTGGGAGTGTCATTTTTGCCACTAAAATAACAATAAATGTGATAACTGTTCATATTTGCTCCTGTCTGTACTCACAAACTTCCACTGGCTTCCCACAGCCAGTTAAGAATTAACTCCTTATTTTCCACAGGGCTCCCCACCCAACCTTTTCTCTCATTTATCTCATACTTGAGCCACACCAGATGACAGCTTCATTTTTCTGCTCTAGCCACACTGGGGTCAGGGGAGACAAGCCGGGAGATGAGAACCCCAAGAATTTCAAGACAGTTGCACAGTGATATTTAAAAGAATCAGAATACAAAGAATGAGATCCCTAAGTACTCCAAGTAGTGAGATTTAGCATTTTTATCTGGCATGTGCTGGACAGACAGAGACTGCAGGGAGAGGCCAGTGGGACAGGTACTGCCCCAGAGACCCAGGACACTGCAGGGTGGCTGGCCTTCCTCCAGACTGAGTCCACGCTCACCAGCAAACCTTCTCATCACTCGTCTGGACTCACAGATAAGGAGCCTAGGATCAGGGCACTGTGAGGAGCAGACACTGTACATCAGTGCACTGGTGCCCTTGCCTATGAACCTGTGTCCTCAATCTGATAAACTCTGTGTACTACGAAGGAATTCAATGCCCAGTCTGTAATAGCTGATGACCAGCCAGCCCTACGTCCAGGTGACTGCTCAGCGGACAGACACTTTAAGGGTCAGGCAGAGGAAACAGATTTTCCTCAGTGTGTCTCCTAAATGCATGACCTGGGGTGCTTGATACAACTATGGACTCCCAGGCCCCTCCCCTAGAGGACCCGAAACAGTTGGTCTAGGGGTACAGGCAGGAGTCCCTGCTTCTAGTTGGCAAAGAGGTGACAATCCTAAGCAGACAAGGTTAGGGCGATGCTGACATGTTCTGATTAAAAGCACAAATCCTTGTCCCCTTCCCAGACACACTGGATTCAAGACCGAGAGCAGAGCTCTGAAAAGCTGCTGCCTTCTCAGCAGCACGTGGATGGTCCTCAACCTCACGGGGTCTGGAGCACCCTTCTATCCTGAGCTCTCCTCCTGGAAGCACACTTTCAAGCCCCTGTCGAGGCTGTGCCCATCTTCCCAAGCTCCAGTATCTGCCTGCCCCAGTCTCGCACCTGCCCATCTCTCATGCACTGACTGCCCTGAGAAATGCCTGTACAATCAGGCCAGAGGGTAGGGCCTGCTCCGGCCCCACGGAACCTGGCAGGCATATAGGTACACCTTTAACTGGAAGTGAAATACCTTTCTTTTCAAAATTATCTCTATCCCAGGACTCCTTTAGCTATATTTTACCCCCTGAGGAGAACTTTTCTCCTCCTAACCAACTGTTTTATCTGAGCTCACAAAGGTCCCCCCCTCCAAACAGGAAGGAACCTCTGTTGCTCTAGAAGGGATGGTGATGGACAGTTCTAGGGCTGTGACATTATTGCACCAGCAAAGAGGAAGGTGGGCAGATGTTGGTGGGTGGTGAAGCTCTAGCAGATATAAACCCAGCTGCTAACCAGGCAGTCTCACAAGGGACTCGCTGCTTAATAAAGCCTTTTATAGAACTTAAGACACATTCTCTGGGACAAAAAATGATCTACAAGTTCATAAACATTTCAGACCATCAACTGATTTCCCTGTGAGGGTGCTTTTGAGCCACTTGGGTCTCTGCCTCTCATGGTTCTTACTACCCACAGCGACCAGGTGGGGCAGGAGCCTCGGCCCCACAAAGGAGGAAATGGACCACAGGGCTGGGGCTGGGATAACAAGCAGATCCGCACACTCCACACTTGCCCAATCCAGTACCCTCTGTTCTGCAACATGCACACAACCTAGGCTCCACGTCACCACTGCAAGGTCTGCCCTCAGTGACCTTGCAGGACACACAAGTAACTCAAGGTGACCTTGATAAAAAGAAGGGTTTGGTCTCCTAGATCTACAAAGACCATCAAAGAGGATTTATCTCCTTATATTTACCATCTTGGTGTGAGATTACGGAACAGCTTTAGACCAAATAAAGGTCCCTGCAGATCCCCAGCTCCAAACTCTAACTGTTCAAAAAAAGAAGGAGAAACAGTATTAACTACACAGCAGTGACCCAGGTCTCAGGTAAGCGGCTCAGTTCTAATGCCTCTGTTCAGCTCGGTGCCAGTGGCTCTGCTGGGCCTCTGGAAGTTGGGCTGGACATTTCTCAGCCTCTCACCTTAGCCTCTGCTGAGGGGGAGACTGCTTCCCCAGATCAAAGGGGCAGTGGTCAGGGGCATGTTCCAGGAAGGAGCCCCTCCAAAGACCACACTGCTCGCCCCGCCGCTCCTCAGCTCAAGTCAGAGGAGAAAGTGGCTCCTGCACCCCTCCCTGCGCACAGCCATCTGCAGAGCGCCCCCGGCCCCTGCAGCGCCGATTCCTCTGCGTTTTCATTCTGCTCTGCTTCACCGTCTGCAGGGCTCACAGGTGACTGGAGATGGTTCTCAGGGGTCTGCAGTCAAACCCAGCAGCAGTCCCACGCTCGCAGCCCTGGGAGTCCACCTCATTTACTAGGCTGGGTGACTTTGAAGGCAACTCTTCAATGTTAATTTGATGCAGCTCAATTTGCACAGCAGAACTAGCTGTTAAATGACCACTAATCAGTGGACCTGAGCGCCGAGAAAGGCACCCACTTCTGAATTGTGCAGGAAAAGGGAACAGCCTACAGGCTTTTGCTTAAAAGGAACAGATTCTGAGTTTCTAGACTTTGGAATTATGGAAGCTGGCATCCCAAGGAAAGCCTGCTGTTCCATCCCAACTTTGAGCTGTCGGGCATACTGAGAGGATTCCTTCTCAGATATGAGATGTATTTTTCTCAAGAATAGTCAACTTATGGCAGTGGCACCTCGTACATTACACAATGATCTGGCCAATCGAGGTTATTTTGAGGGTTAGCTTTTAGAGTGTAAATATTCAGAAATAAGGCTTTGAGGTGGACAGTGTCCCGCCTGCCAACGTTCTTACCTCTCCCCATCCCTTTGCAGAAGTGACTCGTCTGAGGGCGAAGTTGAAGGAACCCCCTCCATTCCCATTCTGGGTCGAGAGGCTTCCAGACAGGATGGCTGTGTCTGTAGCTGTCAAGGGTGCCTGGGAAATTATATCTGCTGGTAATAAATGAATCAAAGCAAAAGGAAGCACCACGGATGGCAGCCTCATGAGCACACTACTGGGGCATGACCGCAGGCCCAGGAGATCCCACAGTTCAAGGGTGTGTGGTGCACATAACCCCGGCTGCTTCATCTCTCCCTCGCTTTGTCATGTGATCTGCACGTGGCCACCAAGCAAATGTTTTGCAAAATGTTGATGGGTCAATTAAAACCAAAACCAAGACCAAAACAGGACACACAGGGCTGATGCTGATCCTCAGTGCACCAACAGCCCTGGTGTGCACAGTGACTGCACTGCGTGCGGTCCCACTGCGCGAGCCTTTGCTCGCCACAAGTGATAGGGAAGGGACTGAAGGCCTTTCCGGGGCCATACTGACTCTGGAAGCTCCAAGTGGCCAGTGGGGTGCATTTCACTGAGTTAGAACTTCAGGTTCCACGTTGATGTACTTGAGAATAAATAAATGAGTTGAAGAGACATAGACCTACTACAGCCCTCAGCAGAATGGTCTGACATTGCCACATCCAAACAGGGCTTAAAGACCACATTTTAGTGACTTGAGGGCTCAGATGAATATTATATTCTCAGCACACAATAGCGTGTGCCTTGAAACAAAGACCAGTTTGTGGAATTACCTATGGGGGTCTGCTTTCTCTTGACATCACATGACCATGGCTTCCCCTTCTCCGGGACCATTACCACTGCCTGACTGGGGGCCCCGAGAAGCTGAGGGCCCCCCAGCCGTCATGGTACCTCACAAGTCAGCAAAGCAGTAACAAGCAAGGTTGTGCCTGGAGCTCTTTTTCTTAAGTGGCTAATTGTATCCTTTCATAAATAAAGATGAGAAAAACCCCAAGCAAACTCAACCCAGCTGCGCGCCTCACTAACCCGAGCCCAGCCCACACCAGGGGGAGCCTGCACTTTACCTCAATGGACTGGGATATGTGCATTTTGTTAATTTCAATCTGCGGAAAACCACTTCCAGACACATCTTCGTACTCTTCCTCGTAGCGATCAAAAAGGTCGGTGGCATCGATGCCGACGCTGATGGTCCCCTGGGGCAGAAAAACGGAGCAGTCAGCACCTGGGTGGTATTTGGGGGATGAAAGACACCACGACCCTTCAGTGCCGGGGTCAGAGAAGCAGCCATGTCCGAGGGTGGACGGCATGACAAAGATGAGTGCCAGGGAAAAAGAGACTTACTTAATATATACAGTATTTGATTTTTAGAGCTCAAACTGGACCTATTTCATGGCTCTAACTAGATCACTTCTGGACTTAACCACAAATGCAGAAAACAACCTAGAAGTAGCTACATGGAGTAAACACTTTTAATGTTTAATTCTAAACACTCTGCCATCACAAAACTACCTTAAACTCTTTAAAACATAAAAATACCTTCAAATATAAAGATGTGCAAACAAATAAACAGGAAGGAATGGGAGATATAACAATTTTGTCTTCTAAAATTGAGAATCAAGTTATGAGAAACATATTCTCGAAATACTAAGCTAAAATTTTGCTGATAAAAATGCTCCTTACTCAGAAAATCTGTTTATTATTTTTTGTCTTAAGACTTTTCAAACACAAATTTTAACCCAACATATAAAAACCTGACCACACACATATTTTTATTAAATTGCCTGCAGCCCATTTTAAAAAACATTATTGAGGCTTACTTTACATGTAATAATATAAACTGCACCCACTTAATTTTACAATTCAGTGAATTCTGGCAGATGTGTACACTTGTGGGACCACCTCCCTATGTACAGAACATTTCTATCGCCCCAGAAGTAGCTTGGGGGGATGTTTTTCTCCCTGAGAAGGGGACATGTGAGGGAATTGAGGGATAAGCCTGTAAGTCCACCGTGGGGGAGTGAGGGGGCTGCTGGGCTGGAGAAGGGGAGGCAGATAAGGGACCTTGCGGGGAGGGTGTCGTGTCTGGGTGGTCACGTGCAGCATCACAGTGTTTGTCCAGGCTGATACCAGTCTGACCCTGTGGTTTTGGTCAGTTTAGCAATCATCCCAGATTTTCACTTCAAATCAAAGTATTCTCTACTTTGATTAAATATTTTGAATTTTAAAATATTAAAATAATTAAAAATATTATCACCATCAATAGTTTGCCTTGAACTAAGAAGGCAGAGCAGGTTTGGTGGACAGGCCTTCCCTCTGTACTTCCAGCATCTGGCAGCGTCTCAGCCTGCAGTGTGTGGGTTGCACGGTGACTCTCAATGACAAGGATAAGCAGCACTCTTGTCCACCTCTTTCCAGGTGAAACGTGAGCAGTGCCCCATTGTAGCACCTGCACGCAGGAGATTTCTGATGCGGTGACTCAGCACAGCTAAATCCTTCCGATCTCAGCTGGTGGTAGAAGTGTTAGATGCTACGGCCCATCTGGCGCATCGGGCAGGTGGCCGGTGCCACAGCCTGTGACATACATGAAGCTGTCAAGCCAGTGGACAGCCCTGTCTGTAGGCAACTCTAGGTGTCTGTGAACACACGTGGGAAACATGTGGGCCAGGTCCACAGAGGGTATCAGAGAGCAGTCTGGCCACTCTTGCCACAGCAGTTTTTTTTTCTCATGTACTGACAGGCACACATCAGGAGTTGGCACACCTTTTCTGTGAAGGGCCATGGTAAACCTTTGAGGCATTGTGGGTCAGTCTTTGTTGTTGCAATTCAGCTCTGCTGTTGTAGTGGAAAGTGGCCACTGTCCAGCAAAGGGCTGGGCCTGTGTTCCAAGAAAACTTTGTTCACTGAACCTGAAATATGAATTTCATATAATTTTTCACGTCTCAAAACATTTCTTTCTTTTTGACCATTTAAAAACAGGTCACACAAAAACAGGCAGGGGGCTGAATCTGGCAATTCCTGACATAAATCTGCAGGGTTTTTTTCGGGGGTGGGGTGGATAATGCTTCTGTTTTGATAAACTTTTCAGGCAACCATGAGATTAAATAATGTATATGTTTAAGGAAAAAAAAATTAAGTACTAAGTTTCTGTTTTCTCAGGAAGTTGATCAGTTTGTAACCTGTATCAAATGCTCTTTGACACTGACTTCTAATAGGCTAACTTCAACACTATGCAGTTGAAAGTCTCCGATCTGTTAACCACTGGCAGCATCTTTAATAACAAGTCAGTCTTTAAAGACTGTGCCTGAAGGTGAGGCTGTGGCAGGTGTATTTACACATACCTGTGAAAGATGACTTCATGGAGATCACACAGTAATTCCTCTATGTTAATTTCACTGGCTTTCCATTCTCAGGTTTGTAATGTATATGTGAAGACACAGCAATAGCTGTTTATATGTTGGTCCCATTAGCAGATCCTCACAACTGCTAATGATGCCAGCTTATGTCTCAACCAGATGCTTCAAACAGAAAATCAGTTAATGTTAATGATGGTTTGGTTTGTTGAAGGCGAATCACCTGCCATTATTATAAATGTTCCTGTAAACTCAGTCAGGAATTTCTACAGATTGTTTTGTGGTGATGCTCAAATACCAATTTTGGTGAAGTACAGCGTCATGGTAAAAGCATTCTTATTAACGAAGAAACCCATGGAGCAGAGATCCTTCAAATTAGTTATAGTGCACATGAGTACATGATTGTGTCAAAACAAGCTGTGATATTCTAGCTATGGAAAATAAAGCTAAAGTTATCCAAACGTACAAATATTTTTGTATAGCCACAGAGTAACAGAATAAATTTTTGTGAGGCTGATTCTGAATACAAAAAAACCTGCAGCATGGCATTAAGAACTGTGTACTAGGACTGAGCCTTCGCAGAATTCCTTTTTAAAAGAGCACAATCAACTCTGCAGCTTTTAAAATATTTAAGCTGCAATCGCTGAAAATAAAGCATGTAACCAAGAATACTCTGAAATTCATCTCTTGAGGAAAGAAAAACTGAAACAAATAAAGTAAGAGCTCAAACAGTTTATTTCATCCTGAAATTCCATAATGGTGTTCTGGAATATCTCTACTTTGGGTAAGAATCCTTTGATGGTGCTGTCATTTTTAATTAGTTAAATTTACACTTTGTCTTGGAATGGAATGCCACTGAAAAGGTCTGGCTACAGTTTTTTTTGGCACCTATGTTTGATGAAGCATTCAAAAGATCATAAATAAAAACAAATTATAAAAAATTTGTCAAAAGAAAATGATTCTGTCAAACAATTCTGTTGTCAAAGGAGAGCATTTGTGGAAATACTTGGGTCAAAATATTTATATTCTACAAAATGAAGAGGAAATTGAGAACTGAGAGAGAATTTTCTCAGTTAAGAACACTATGACATACGAAGAAGAGTTAACGCCAAAACTGTCAAATTTACTCAGTATAAATGCCACTTTTATGAAGATGGTAGGGAATGTTATGAAAGAAAAAAAACCCCATGACAGTACATTCTTCAGGCAAACAGCCCTGGAACAGTGTGGAGGGGAGAACCCACAGGTGACCTCCAGGTCATCACGCCTGCTGGTCCCACCCTCCTGGGCTCTCACTGGCCGGGGGACCTGCTTTTCCCAGCAGAGTGCAGTGCATATGATGGTGTGGACTTCCAGGCTGGGCCACAAAAAGCCTGGCTGCTCCGTCTAAGCTGCTGGACGTGCTTCCTGGAGAAGCTGGAGAACACGTAACCACCCAACTTCCCCGAGACTGCTGTTCTGTGAGGAAGCCCAAGCTAGCCAGGGGGCAGACGCTGCATGGGAGGGATGCCAGGCCACCCCCTGCTGTAGCAGCCACCCAGCAGAGGCACAGGGGAACAGGCGCCATCTTCAGTGTGACCCCAATCAAGAACAGCCAGCCGAGTGCAATTCACCCACAGGGCCACGAGAGAAAATCAGACTGTTCTTGCCAGCCACTGAGTTTTGGAGGGGTTTCTTATGCAGCGATACATAACCAGATTAAAGTATATAAACGTATGCCAAAAATAATGATTCTGCTTCTGCTACTTTTAAGGTTGACATAATATAACTTAAACATTTGTTTTAATGTACATAGGTATATTTAAGGAAACATTTAATTTTTGAAAAGTTTTTGAATGAACCATTTTATAGGTTCTCTAAAATAGTAAAAAACACTGTTGGTCAATAAATAGTAACAAAAAAATGGTATAATTTTAGTTATTTTGTAAGCACCCCTTTCGCTCTCGAAAATGTCCTGGTCTGAGATCCACACTCAGTCCGCGTGTGGAACACCAAACACGACGTGCGTCAGTGCAACGTGAAACACGATTAAAAAAAAAATGGCACGGCCACCCTGTCTACAGGCCACTGTAAGGACGCTGGCTTGCAATGAATGACGAAGCCGTTGGAGCACCTGGAGCAGAGCGACCTGGTCTGACCCATGTTCTGGGGCTCACTCTGGCTGCTGAGTTGGGGTGAGTGGCCAGGTGAGACTGCTGCATAAGCCACGGTGACAGGGTAGGAGCAGTGGTGGAAACCCCTCATCTACTACGTGGGTTTCGTGACCGGCCCCCTCCTCTCACTCACTACTCTCTTGATAGTTCTCAGCTGGTTCTCTAAAGTGAGCCAGTCACATGATGTGCAGACCACGACAGCCCTTTCAATATTTATGTCTTTTATTATTTGTCTAACTGAATTGGCTAAAACTTCCAGAATGATGTTAAATATGGTTCACTTCCTTTCCCAAAGAAAACCTTTTAAATTATAAATATTTATGTAAACTTCACACTGACAATCAGCTGATTCACCAGAGGGCTGAGTGGCCTTTAGAAGTTTAAAAATATTGCTTAAGTCCCTTTTCCAACTGTTCTGTCGTTTCTTTTAAGAAGGCCAAAATAACCTAACACTCCCATGATCTGGTGACTTGAGACTCGACAGGCTTCGGTGTTGATTCAAGTCCATGGAAAAGGACTAACCCAGAAAAGTCGAGAGACCCAAGAACATTGGGCTCCAGTGCCAGCTACACCTGATGAAACCGACTGTCCGGGACGATGAGCGATCAAGTCACCACCTACAAGAACATGTATTTTAATATTTTAGAAAGCGGTTTGGATGCCTGTGTTCTTACTCCTCTTCCATTTCAA